GGGGGGGGGGGGGGGGGGGGGGGGGAATTAACTAGGATATGAGAGATTTTGATACCTTTATTAGGTAGACCGGACTTGGGGATCTTCTATTAGCTAATAGTATGCACAGTTGGTCTAACTTTAGATATAACTTGGTGTGTAAGAGGTTGAATAGGTTTCTTTTTTCATCAAAATGGACAAATTGTTTTCTGGGAGTTAGACAAGAAGCTTTGCCAAGAGTAACATTTGATCATTGTTCTATTGCTTTGGAGACTTCAGTAGCAAAATGGGATCCTTGTCTTTTTAGGTTAGGTTTGAAAATATGTGGGTGGAACTTAAGAATTTTAGGAGAAAGGTTAGAGGTTGGTGGATGGAGGGGAGTTTTCAAGGATGGGAAGGGTTTACGTTTATGAAGAAACTTGATTCTATAAAACATGAACTTAAGATGTGGAATAAGGAGGAGTTTGGTGATGTTGTGCTATGAAAAAGGTGATTACTGAAAGAATTGGAAAGATTGATAAATTATAGGAAAGTGGGGGATTTGATGACAACTTAAGAAGCAAGAGATGAGATCTTAGGAATGAGTTTGAGGTGGTGGTTTTTAATGAAGAAATCAATTGGAGACAAAAATCTAGAGTAAAATGGGTGATAGAAGTGGATAATAATTTGAAGTTCTTCCACATAGTGGTGAATGGAAATAGAAAGAAGAAAGTCATCAACAAGTTGGAGCTTGATAATGGTGTGATAATTGAGGATGAGACTCTTATACAAGGGGAGATAATTAATTTTTTTTTTCAAATCTATATTCAGCTCAAGAGGGGGTTAGAGCTAGGATGATTGGTCTTGATTGTTCTCCTGTTGATATGGTAGAGCTAGTTGGATGGAAAGACCTTTTGAGGAGAAGGTGAAGAGAGCAATTTTTGAGTGTAGTAAAGGGAAATCCCTTAGACTAGGTGGTTTTATTGTGGCTATGTTATAGGAGTGTTGGGAGGTTGTGAAAACTGATTTGATGAGAGTGTTTGAAGGGTTTTTCCAAAATGGTGTGGTTAATGCAATAACAAACTCCATTTTTATTTGTCCCATTTCGGAAAAAGAAAACTATGTGAAATTGAAATATTTTAGGCCAATTAGCTTAGTAACGAGTCTTTATAAGATTGTTGCTAACGTTTTATTGGTTAGGCTTGGGGAGAGTTTGGATGAGGCAATATCTAAGTTTCAAGGGGCTTTCATGAGAGAGAGACAAATTTTGGATGTGGTTCTCATGATTATTGAGATAATTAAAGAATATAGATCTAGAAGGAAGGAGATAATTGTTTTTAAATTTGATTTTGAGAAGGTCAATGATCATATGGATTGAAATTTCTTAGACTTTGTTTTGGAAGTGAGGGATTTGGAGAAAGATGGAGGAAGTGGATGAGGGGATGAGTTTCTCAGTGATATTAAATGGTAAACTAAGGGGTAAGTTCAAGGTGTCTAGAGGGCTTGGGCTGTATGATCCATTGTCACCTTTTTTGTTTACACTTGTGGTGGATGGTTTGAGTAGGCTTGTGATGAGGGCGGAGAGTTGTAATTTGGTTGAAGGCTTTGTTATTGGGAGGGATAGAGTTTCGGTTTCATATTTACAATTTCCTGATGATACTATATTCTTTTCTTTTTTAGATTAGATAAATGATGATACCATATTCTTCTCATCGGATGATGAAGAGAAATTTTTAAATTTTAGGAAAATTGGGGATTTTTTTGGTGAGATATCTGGACTTACCAGAATAAATTCTAGTCATGATAAGATTGGTAGGTTGACTTTGAAGTTGGGGTGTTCTGTGGGTGAAGGGCCACTTAAGTACTTAGGGCTTCTGTTGGGGTTATCTATTGTCTTTATCTTTTTTGGGATTCAGTAATTGTGAAAGTTATGAAGAGGTTTGATGGGTGGAAGAAAGCATTAATATCTAAAGGGGGCAATTAACACTTGTGCAGTTTGTATTGACTAGCCTTCCCATATATTTTTTCTCTTTTTAAAATATCTAGTATGGTGGTTAGGGGGATTGAGAGGATGATGAGGATTTTTTTTGTAGGGAGATAGAGATGAGGGAAGAAAGATCACTTGATTACGTGGGAGGTGGTGTCCAGGCCTAAAGATAAAGGTGGTCTCTCGATGGCAAATTTGTTAGATAGAAATGTAGTCTTTTTTAAAAAATGGCTTTGAAGATTTCCTTGGGAACAAATTCATTGTGACACTATTTGTGGGGAGGTAGAGATGAGGGAAGAAAGGATCACTTGATTAGGGGGGAGGTGGTGTCCAGGCCTAAAGATAAAGGTGGTCTCTTGATGGGAAATTTGTTACATAGAAATGTAGTCTTGGTTGAAAAATGGCTTTGGAGATTTCTTTTGGAATAAAATTCGTTGTGACACTATTATTAGAAGAAAATATGATTTATAGATCAATGAGTGGGATGCAAAAAGGGTTGAAAGAGGAAGTTTTCAAAAGCCATGGAAATTTATTTCATATGGATTATCTTGTTTTTTTCAAAAAGTTGGATTTGTGGGAAATGGGGAAAGGGTTCATTTTTAGGAGGATGTTTGGCATGGGGAGTCTTCCTTTTTGTGTCTATTCCCTCGACTTTATCGTCTATCACGTTATCATGATGCTTCTATTGTCTCTTTGGTTAGATCTTATTCATACCCCCAATTTCTCGGAATTTTGGCTTTACTAGAAATCTTAACAATAGGGAATCTTCAGAGTTGGTGTTACTTCTTTCCATGCTCAATAATGCTACCTTGAATCCTGAATCCTTGGATGGAAGACAATGGATCATTTATTCAACTGGTTCATTTATTCAACTGGTTCCTTTTCTTGTAAAACATTCTATGAATCTTCGATTGACGATTCTTCACTTCCACTTTTTTACACATCATTGAAGACTTGGAAGGTTAAAGTACTTCTAAAGATACGGGTTTGTGCATGGGTAATTGCTCACAATAAGCTCAATACTAATTATATGCTCCAAAAAAGAAGGCCGAATGTTTGTTTATTACCACAGTGGTGTGTAACGTGTAAAGGTGAAGGTGACGGTGAGAATGTTGATCAGTTATTTTTGCATTGTCCTATGGCTTTATCTTTGTGGAATAAATTGTTTGAGTTGGCATTTGATGAAGACTTTTGTTCCTTGTAGTGCTGTGTTCTGTTTTATGTATTTTGGTTTTTGTATCTGGTTGGACAAATTGTCTACATTTGCTTCCTTCTATGTATACCTTTATATATATTATTCTTATTATTAATAAATTATCGTTTCTGATAAATAAAAAAAACCCAAACTCGGATAAAAAATCACGGTCAAGTCCAGCCCAAACCAATTCCTCTATTGAAATCAAGGTACAAGACTCATTACTTACATTCCCTGTTTGAACTCCTAGCTATAAGCTATACTTGTGTTTATTTCTTTCGCTGAATCATTACGCTGCTTAAATTGTGTCAGACAATGGTTTCTCACAAAGAGGTTAAGTATCACGTCTTACTCCTGAAATGCTTGCTAACTTGTCCACCACCACGTATCGCACCAACTTACCAAGGCTCCTCAAAATCCACCCCGGGACTCAAGACCATACCACAATGGATTGCACCACTCACTGTTGTTGAAACAAAACTCATTTAATAAGAAACAATAATTCTGAGCTTTTGTGACAACCTAGAATGGATATCCACTCAAGAATACTTGTGAGTTTATGTTTTGACTCAATACCATGAAGATCAACCTAACATTAAGACCAACCTAAACATTTTCTAGGAACACCTGACACGTATGAAGGACGGCTAGGGTTTTGCTAATTCTACCAAGCTCTTAACAAAGTGTAAACCCTCTGAATTTTTGCTCTGAAATCCTCATCAAAAATATCCTAGGTCTGCCTTTACATAGGCAGGAAAAAGTTAGACCCACCCAAGTTTGGAAGTAATTTAATCAAAATAGGAAACCACACGTTCTATAGCCCCACTTGAGTTCCAAGAAGCTCACTCGAGCATTGGTCAATCCTGGCCCTTAAATTTTGTTTTCCAAAAAATAGTATTTTCGAAGAGAGATATTTTTACAAACTTTTTTCACAGTAAAAACACTAGGCCAAGAACGATCATGCTGAGACAAGCTCTGATCCAATTTTAGTCAAATTAAGATATTCTAAACACCTAAGGATCAACTAGGCCTTTACCTCCACTCACCTTCCTAAATTGGTGTGGGAATCCAATGAAGTCTTCAACAACTTCTTCATATCAACCTTGACATTTTATGTGACTCACGGAATTATACCAATAAAAATCCCTAATTATGTCATATGTTATGTGAAGTCGTTAATAACATTGGCTAAGCAGAACCAAGTTTTGGTCTCTATTTTGTGTCTGGAATTTATGCTATTTTGTTTTACACAAAAAAGTTCTTGTTTTAAGTGCTTAATGAGTAAGAGGTTTCGGGCTTGGGCTACAGTATTGGTAGATTAGTTCTTCCTTAGAATTCAGTATATTGGTTATGTAATTTAAATCAGTGCTCATGTGTTTTCTTATATATAGTTTATACTTTATATTGGCTTATGAAAGTAAGAAATTTTACAAAAGAGTCTTAAAGTAGGAGCCCTTGTTTATATAGGAAGGCAATGGAGCAGGCCTTTCTGATATACTTCATTTTGTTGGACATCAATGACAGGGATGTCCTGGAGCTATTGAAACTAGTGTCTAGATGTGTGTGTCCAAGATATCTTATGTGGCAATGCCTAGAATGTTTCTCTTGCTCTCTCCAGCTCTTCTGAATTGCAAAACTTACAAAGTAACTGTAACTAACCCTTTGTTTTCTTTTTTTGTTTTTGTTTTTACTTAAGACGTACTTCCATTTTTGAAACCCCCACATTTTTTAGTCTGAATCTCAATGCCGTCTAGAAGGTTTTACTTTTGCAGTTCAATGCCCAAATCTATAATAGTTGTCCAAAATGTTATAGCTTTTTGCTATGTATAGCATTCAAGACAAGCGGAAGCTGTCCCATAATAACCCCTATTTTAATTTTGCTATCACAATGCTCATTTCAAACATTGGCTATGTTGGTTGAGCAAATAAAAAATGGTCAGTACAAATTCAAAAAGAAGTGCACTTTGTTTTACATTGGTGGTTAAAACGTAAAACATTGGAAAAGGGGGGGGGGGTTGTAATACATTTTAGATTCCTATCACCTAATTCACATTCTGAGAAGAATGGACTATTGGGTTGTCCTCTCTTTTAGGCATTCTTCACAATATTAGGTTGAATCCTTCTTCTTTGGACTGTAGAGAATGAACTATTGCTTCTTCGGGGGAGTTTTCTTGGAAGTCTTTTTTGTAGTTCTTGATAGATAAGCCAAGTTCCTCAATTTCCAACCGTCCTTAATAATTTGGAAGTTAAGGCTCTATTGAAGGTACAAGTTTTTGCTAGGTTGCTTGTACACAAGAAACTCAATACCAATGATTCCCTCCAAAAAAGAAGCCCATCCAACTCTTTTCCCACAAAGGTGTATTCTTTGCAAAAATGGAGGGAAAATTATGGATCACTTATTTTTACATTTTTCTTTTGTTTATAAATTGTGGAATAGGTTCTTGGGTTGGCTGGAACTTCTGGGGGGATCCTAGAGATTGCAACTAGGTCTTTGAGCATCATGTAGAGGGTTTTGGTTCTAGTATCAAAGCTAAGATCATATGGAGTTGTGCAATATTGGCTTTGTTTTGGGTGGTTTGGATGGAAAAAACGGGAGAATCTTCGATGATAGGGAGACATCTTGGGAAGACTTGTGGGATAAAATTATCTTCTTGGAATCTCTCTGGGCTTCTATGGCTAAAGATTTTGAAGGAATTCCACTATTTTTTGTTAAGGATCATTGGGTTGAAGTGTGGGATGTTCATTGAGACTTGGAACTTTGTTTTATTGTCGTGTCCTCTACATTTCAATTTTAGTTTTTGCCTTTCTTTTCCCATTCTTTTGCATATAAAGGACTCCTTAGCCTCTTGTGTAATCTTTCCTATTTATCTTGATTCTTAATAATATTCTCTTGTTTTCGATAAAAAATAAATAAATTTCATTTTCCGATAAGGGTAAGAATGCTTTCACTTGATGACGTTGCTGTGCTTTTGCTTCTGACTGATGCATCATGGACTTGCTGATTGTCATGTTCCTTCTTATAGTCTGTGGAAAAGTGAAGTTCGGGCAAGTGGAAAAAAATGAGGTACGAGTGAAGTAATAAAATATTAGACTTGCATTGAAACGTTTTGGTTGTATACCAACCCTGTATTAGTCTGTGAGAATGCAACTCTTAAAAGACCAAACCTCTGCCTGAAACTATCCAGTGCAGCTGGTTCTTTGTTCTGTTTTATTCTCCTTCTAAAGACTGAGGAATCCTTGACCATTTCCACTTAAGCTAGAATGTGATTATTCTGTCTTTTTTAACTTTTCAGTTGTAAGATCTAGTTTCATATGATGCTAGGCATAGTAACTGCCCCAATGCCCGACCACTTGTGCAGCTGAAGAANGGGGGGGGGGGTTGTAATACATTTTAGATTCCTATCACCTAATTCACATTCTGAGAAGAATGGACTATTGGGTTGTCCTCTCTTTTAGGCATTCTTCACAATATTAGGTTGAATCCTTCTTCTTTGGACTGTAGAGAATGAACTATTGCTTCTTCGGGGGAGTTTTCTTGGAAGTCTTTTTTGTAGTTCTTGATAGATAAGCCAAGTTCCTCAATTTCCAACCGTCCTTAATAATTTGGAAGTTAAGGCTCTATTGAAGGTACAAGTTTTTGCTAGGTTGCTTGTACACAAGAAACTCAATACCAATGATTCCCTCCAAAAAAGAAGCCCATCCAACTCTTTTCCCACAAAGGTGTATTCTTTGCAAAAATGGAGGGAAAATTATGGATCACTTATTTTTACATTTTTCTTTTGTTTATAAATTGTGGAATAGGTTCTTGGGTTGGCTGGAACTTCTGGGGGGATCCTAGAGATTGCAACTAGGTCTTTGAGCATCATGTAGAGGGTTTTGGTTCTAGTATCAAAGCTAAGATCATATGGAGTTGTGCAATATTGGCTTTGTTTTGGGTGGTTTGGATGGAAAAAACGGGAGAATCTTCGATGATAGGGAGACATCTTGGGAAGACTTGTGGGATAAAATTATCTTCTTGGAATCTCTCTGGGCTTCTATGGCTAAAGATTTTGAAGGAATTCCACTATTTTTTGTTAAGGATCATTGGGTTGAAGTGTGGGATGTTCATTGAGACTTGGAACTTTGTTTTATTGTCGTGTCCTCTACATTTCAATTTTAGTTTTTGCCTTTCTTTTCCCATTCTTTTGCATATAAAGGACTCCTTAGCCTCTTGTGTAATCTTTCCTATTTATCTTGATTCTTAATAATATTCTCTTGTTTTCGATAAAAAATAAATAAATTTCATTTTCCGATAAGGGTAAGAATGCTTTCACTTGATGACGTTGCTGTGCTTTTGCTTCTGACTGATGCATCATGGACTTGCTGATTGTCATGTTCCTTCTTATAGTCTGTGGAAAAGTGAAGTTCGGGCAAGTGGAAAAAAATGAGGTACGAGTGAAGTAATAAAATATTAGACTTGCATTGAAACGTTTTGGTTGTATACCAACCCTGTATTAGTCTGTGAGAATGCAACTCTTAAAAGACCAAACCTCTGCCTGAAACTATCCAGTGCAGCTGGTTCTTTGTTCTGTTTTATTCTCCTTCTAAAGACTGAGGAATCCTTGACCATTTCCACTTAAGCTAGAATGTGATTATTCTGTCTTTTTTAACTTTTCAGTTGTAAGATCTAGTTTCATATGATGCTAGGCATAGTAACTGCCCCAATGCCCGACCACTTGTGCAGCTGAAGAAGCCTTTGCATCCTACTCGTGCTATTCCAACCGCTATCAATTGCCTGGCAACTTTACTAAAGGAACCTATAGTTAGATCTTTATTTGTTCAAGCAGATGGTGTGAAGCTGCTCGTTCCTCTAATTTCTCCAGCATCCTCTCAACAGTCCATCCAGGTAAGTTATTTCTTTAACGGACCCATGGGTTATAACCCAACTATGCATGTACCAACTTGGCACATCTCAATGTGATGAATAGGCAGGCTTTGCAGCCATGCATCTTAGTCTACACAAAGCCTCTGAATTCTGGAACCGAGTCTTCCATTTCATTTGTGTTGAGCTCATAATTCTGAAATTTTCACCACCTTGAAACAGCTTCTTTATGAAACATGCCTCTGTGTTTGGCTTTTGTCTTACTACGAACCTGCAATTGAGTACTTGGCGACTTCTAGAGCCCTGCCACGACTAATAGATGTTGTGAAAGTTTCCACAAAGGAGAAGGTGAGTTCATGTCCGTTCTGTCTGTTGAACTCATTCTCATATCATTTATTCTGATGATTGCCTGCTATGGTATGGCATTCGTAGCTCTCATGATAATCTCTTGCAAAATACAAATTGAGTTTTTTCCCTATATTGGCTTTCTCCTTGTTTGTTTATTGTTTTTTAAGCCACTCAGCCAGAGGGTCCACAATTCAGACCTTACAATGCAGGGCAGATTTTGTTCATGCTGCTGTTTGTTAGCAGCTAGTTGTCTGCCAATTTGTAAAAAAGGATGTGTTATAGGTATCTGAAATTGAGACATCTGGTGTATTGGTCGCTGCTAGGTTGTCCGGGTGGTTGTCTTGACTCTCAGGAATTTGCTTCCTAAAGGAACTTTTGGTGCTCAGATGGTAGATGTTGGACTGCCGCAAGTTGTTCAAAGTTTGAAAGCACAGGCATGGAGTGATGAGGTGAGAGTATTGTGGTTTCATTGTCTTTACTTATACATTAATTAATCATTCATCTGTATGTTCGATAATTTTCAAGTAAATAGAAGGGAACTCATGAGAAGTTTTTTCTTAGACTTTAGTGATTGCTGGTGCACATTTGTTTGAATAAAGAAAAAAGGCTGCGAACAAATGCTTTCTTTTCAGTGAACTCATAAAAAGCTTAAATGGTGTCTTTAGTGGATGGCTGAATGTTAAGTACTGTGGTAGTTACGAAGGTCTTAATTACTTCCCATATTTGCTCTATGTTGAGCTATTACATTTTCTTGATCAGAGGCAAACTGATTATATTGATTCTAAAAGGGGTGGACAAGCAGCTCACTTAGAGTATAGATTATAAAGAAATAAAATACAATAATCTATGAATCATATGAAGCTCTCCATCTTGTCAGTGGAATTCCCTCAGAACCCCTGTAAACCGAAGCCTAAAAAGATTCTAAAAAGCAAATTCAAACCCATAAACCATCAACCAAATAACAAAAGTCATTGAGTACTCCTTTCCTTCCAAATGACCCAATCTCAGCTATTATGAAGCTTGGCCCTGTAGCTTGTGTGTGAGAGAGAGAGAGATAATATCCCTCTTTGTGCACTTGATTTTTAGTGTGAATAAATTCTCTAGACAGAATCTGTATGATATTGATTTTATGATATTAGATTTGTAGATTTGCTTTTTATCTTTTTGTTTTTTTTATATATCTTTTTTTATGTAAGTTTTATCAAGAGGACTTCTTGTCCTCTAATGTACTCTTTTATGAATTTTTTTTCGTATAAAAAAAAAAAAAAAACTTTTTTGCAGCTACTCAATGAAACTCCAATCGAAAATGTTCATTTCTTGAAATCTAGATTTGCAAAGCTTACTATGAATATGCATTAAGCTTTGACTTGTCCCTTGAACTAAGAAGAGATGACTTATTGCACCCCAAGGATCAAATTTTTATTTCGGTGTATAGTTTTGGTCAGTTGGAAAACAGAAATATTTTGAAAACATGATAGAAACACATAAAAAATCTGAAAATTTATTTTCAAAACATTATTTGAAACACGTTGAAACCTTCCAAAACCATCCAAAACATGTTAAAATATAGGAATTTCAATATTCAATTATTGTTTCATTTCTTTTTCCATGGAAATCGAAATATTTTGGTCATTTCGGTGGAAACAAGATGAATTTTGGTTCATTGCTGCATCCTGCTTGGCTGGATTTTGTAGACACTAAACTTAATGATGTGATTTTGTGGTTTTCCTGCAGGACCTCTTGGAGGTTCTGAATCAATTGGAAGAAGGGTTGAAAGATAACATTAAGAAATTGAGTTCTTTCGATAAGTACAAACAGGAAGTCCTTCTCAGTCATCTTGACTGGTCCCCCATGCACAAAGATCCTACATTCTGGCGTGATAATATTACAAACTTTGAAGAGAATGATTTCCAGGTAATGCTTGGTCTTTTTTTTTTTTGATAAGAAACAATGATTTTATTAAAAAAAACAAAAATTATAAAGGATATATCATAGTTGGACAAGGCATCCAAAAACTAAGATATGAAAATATAACAAAAACAAGACAACAACAAAAAAAAAAACCCATGCATGAGCGAGCACTACATTCCACACATTGCAGTTCAACTCAAAATAATGCAAGAAAGAGGGATATCTTCAAACTCTTTAGTCACGGAGGCCCAAAATGAAAGCCGCTCCCATAGTTCTTCAACGTCCTTACATTTGTCATAAAAAATCATTGTTTTCCTTTCTAACCAAATCACCCAACCATAGCATTACAAGCACAATGCTAAAGGGTTTTCCACTTCCTATTTCCACCCTCGCTTTAAACATCCAAACATATCATCAAAAACATGTTTCTTGGTGCCGCTCAACAATGTCTAATAAGTCTAAACAACTTGTTCCAAAGAGAGAATGCAACACAACATTGCAGAAAGAGATGATCAATACTCTCCCAATCACCTTTGCACATAACACACCACCGCAGTGAAAGACAAATCTTAGGTCAAAGATGAAGTACATCATAAGTATTAAGCTTACCATGATTAATTATCTATAAACAAATTTGCACTTTAAGAGGCACGCTAGATTCCTATATTACCCTCGAATGGAAAAACATCGAAATCGATGTATCATCAATTAAAGATTAAAAAAAAAAAAACTTTCAAGAGAAAATACCAGAAGAATCAATAGTCCAAACTCCTTGGTCCAAAGAACCTTGACTCAAAGAAACACTGTTAAGCAAAGAAAGAATTTCAACCACCTCAGATCATTCTTTATCATTAAGAAGAATTTTTACCACCTCTGAACATTCTCTATCATTAAGACTTCTACGAAACCCAAAATTCCAAGACAATATCGAAGAATCATAACGAAATAATGACACAATATTATACCCATGGAACATCGAAGTACGATAAATACGAGGGAAAAAATCATACAATGGAGCCTCACCAACCTATAAATCTTCCCAAAAGAGAATCCTAGTACCATCACCCACCATGAGCTTAAGTTTCGGAGAGAAAGTTGGTAACCCTTGAGCAATAAATTTCCATGGACTTCGAAAGCTATTTCTATCAATCCCAATAGCATCTTAACCATTATGTTGTAACTCATATTTGCTTTTAATAATGAAACACCATAATGATCCTTTTTCCGAAGGGAATCTCCAAAAGCCAACCCAACCAAAGCCTTGTTCCCTTTTAACAAATTTCTAATTGAAAGACCACTTTAGCCCTAGGTCTAGACACAATCTCCCATGAAATCAAATGCTCTTTCCTACTTTCCTCCGATCCTTCCCATAAAAAATTCCTCATCAAGCCTTCAATTTTTCCTAGCAATTTAACTTGGTAATCTAAAGATAGACATGAAATAAATAGGAACACTAGCCAAAACAGATTGAGCCAAAGTTAATCTACCTCACCTAGAAATAAAAGTTTTTTTCCATCCATCCAACATTTTCCTAACCTTCTCATTTACTGGATCCCAAAAATACTTGGACATCGGATTACCACCCAAAGGGAGCCCAAGATACTTCAAGAGCCAACCACCCACCAAACAACCCAAATCAAAAGTTAGTTTATCCATCTTATCCTGACTAGTATTAATACCCACAACACTCTTCTCCCTATTAACCTTAAGACCTAATATAACCCCACCTCCCCTGAAAAGAAGAAAATGTTATCATTTGCAAATGCAAATGAGAAACCGCCACTCTCTCCCTACCAACCATAAAATCCTCCACTAAATTACACCACTTCGCCTTGTCCAAGATTCTACTTAGACCATCCACCACCAATGTAAATAGGGACGGGGATAAAGGATCACCCTATCTTAATCCTCTTTATGCCTTAAATTTTTCCTCCGGTCTCCCATTTAACATGACTGAAAAATTCAGACTCCAAACATTCTCTGATCCAATTCCTTCACCTCTCTCCAAACCTTTTTACCTCTAAGACAAAGTCAAGAAAACCCCAATCAACATGATCATAAGCTTTGTCAAAATCAATTTTCAACATAGTATCTTCCTTTCCTCTAACTCTATAATCATCTACTATTTCATTTGCAACTAAAGTCGCATCTAAAATTTGTTTACTCCTCACAAAAGCCCCATGAGAAGAAGAAATAGTTTTACCTAAATGCTTAAATGCTCACTGCTCCCTCCTCCCTTAGCCTGATTGAAAGAACTTTAGAAATGATTTTATACAAACTAGTAACAAACTAATAGGTCTAAAATTCTTCAAACTTAAAGAGTTAACTTTTTTAGGGATAATACAGATAAAAATAGCTTTTGTGATTGCATTCACCACTTCATTATGAAAAAATTTCCCAAACACCCTTACTTTAACAGAGAGACAATATGATTTGACACTATGCCCAGTTGGAGTCTCCGATGGAACTTGTGCATATACAAAACAAGATTGAATAAATGTCCTAAAGCCAAGCTGACTAGTGAAGAATTATTCTTGGTGTTGAAATATTTTGGAAGTTAATGATAATTAGATGTTGTGTGCATCCCCTCTTTTTTTTTTTGTTCCTTTTTTTGGGCGGTGGATGTTCAGTTTTGACTCTTACTTTAATGCAACACAAGTTGATTTCTGGATGGTGGTGTATGTAATTGGGCTTCTTTATGCCAAGCAGTCAACTGGCCATTGCAATCTATTTTTGACGGACTGGTACAGAAATTCATAATGGCATGACACAGATAAGAGGCAAATGTATGGCAATAAATGTCTATGTTGTGAAAAATCTGCATCCACACATCGTACTGGTGATGCAACTTAGGAAGCATGGATACACATATAGGACACTGGTACGACATGATATAAACACGGCTAATCATTATATTTGAGCAGTTTGAGTTGGCCCCTTAGAGGTTATTGTCCTATTCATGCAAATTTCTTTTCTTGTTTTTGAACCAAGGTGTACTGTATGCATGTTCTGTCGAAGAGTTATGGTCCTCTCTCTTTTTATTATTGCATAGATTGGTAGAAGCCAAGGGAATAAGAAATATATTTTGGGATCCTATTGGGAATGTGTTCTATGCTTGGAACGTGTGCCAAAATGTTGATAGCCAGGTACTGCTGTTTTGCCCAACATGTGGTCAAGACAAATGGGTATATAGTATATTCTTGTGATATTCTTTTAAGGGGACGCCTGTATTCAAACTTGGATGCCTCTGGGTTGGTGGTTATTGTTAGAATTTGTAGGAATCACATTACTGATTATGAGTCTTGGTTTTCTGACTCAACTGTTTGCTTTGTGCTATCAGAGCTCAAGTTTTGGCAATCAGTTCAGCTATTGGCTGTTATACTACCTACTCTATATTGGGCTATATCTAGTTAAGCCATTGGGATTTTGGAGTTAGCTCATTCTTTGTACATGAAGGCAGAGTGGCCCCTAATGATGCCAATACAGTAGCAGAGTGGCCATTGCCTAGGAATTATTTAGAAAGGATGCAGAGGGCATTTCTTCCTGGAAGTCCTCTGTTTCAAGTATATTGTAAAGAGAGCTCATACTCCACATCTAATGATTAGGAACATATGCTTAAGTGGCCTCTCCAGTCATTGTCAATTGATTGTGAGTTGGATGCTCTTCCAGATATGTTATCCAGTCGATGCATTATTTAGCTTGTCCTTTTCTATTTGGAAAAGTATGTAGTATTGTTCTCGTAGATTAATCTTTTTCACATTCAATTTTATGCAAACTAAAATACGTAAGTTGCCACAGATCCTGAGGGTCCTCGTTACAATTTTGGACTCATCCAGCGATCCGAGGACACTAGCAGTTGCTTGCTTTGATCTCTCGCAGTTCATTCAGTACCATCCTGCTGGCCGGATCATACTGACTGACCTGAAGGCTAAGGAGCGTGTGATGAAATTGATGAACCATGATAATGCAGAGGTCACCAAAAATGCCTTGCTCTGCATCCAAAGGCTTTTCCTAGGTGCCAAGTACGCGAGCTTTTTACTAGCTTAGTTATTTCGGTTGATGGAACTTATTGTTTTATGTGATTTTATTGTCAAAAGTTCTTAGATGAAAGAATGTGAGAGTTGGCCGGACAATAGTTTTTTTTGTAGTAGTAATAACAATTATTTGAGTAAGGTATCATCTAGCGCTATCTTTCATCAGGCATTTGTTGTGAACATAAGTGTGAAGACCTCTTTGTTCTGGTTAATCGTGCAATAAAATAAATGATTGATTTTTATGCTTCTCTTGAGCTTTCTGCATTATTAGTTGATCAAGAGTGTGCTCTCGCCCAGAGATATTTCTTTGCTTAATTTTGGACTTTTTTGTTTGAAATTTCAAATTGTGATAATGTGGTTGTAGGGAGCAATACACATTGCTCTTTCTTTCTTTTTCCATTTTACATCTCAAGAATTTGGGGGTTTGTTATGAATACTGTTTGTGTGGAACTGTGCCATACTGTTAGTAGTTGTGTGGTTAACCCCAAACTGACGGAACCGAGCACTACAAAGAATTCACAAGAAAACCAGTTTTATTATTGTTAATATTTTTCTGCATGTAAACAAATATCCGACTGATTAACGATATTGACACATCATTTCATAACAAAAAAGATATTTTCCTATATATGGATAGTTTGGAAAGGATGGACGAGTGGGGATCTCTCCAGCTAGTTTAATGGGTTACCAATGGGTCTTTGGTCCATAATACTCCTTGTCGTATAAATATTTTGCTTTCTTGAGGTTAAAGATTTGAGTTTCTCTCCCCCTTTCCCTATCCCCTCCAAAAAAAAAAAAAAAAAGTTTGATGGGCTCCTTACAATTCTTTTTTTTCACTTAAGGGTGTGCGCGCGTGCATGTCAAGTGTTTTGGTGGTGGGTCTGAAAATGTTGCGATCCCCATTAAAGAAACGAGTCAGAGAGACTAGTTTTGTTTCTGGTTCATGAAAACTGAAGTGCTGTGACTCTTAAGTCTGAACTTTTTGCCTCTCCATTGCTCCAATCTCTCAACTGAGCCCTGCTATGAGTAATCTAATTTCCAGTTGCCATCTCCCAATTTAGTTTTCCTCTTCTTATGATCCAAAATTAATAGGACCATAAAGAATAGTTATTTGCAGATTCAGTTTCGAACATGGCACAACCTCAAAATTATAGAAAACTGTTACGAGAACAAGCATTATTCAGTGTCATGAATGTGGCAGTTAGGGCTTTTTTTGTGTGTGTGTGTGTGTGTGGGGGGGGGGGGGGG